GCGCCCCCCTCCTTGCCTGGGGGGGGGGGGGCGTCAAATGTGGGCTCACCCTGAGGCAAAGACTTTCTCATCTTGTGGTCCCTAGTACACCTGTAAAATGCACACTATCGGGTACCCACCCCCAGACCTACAAAATCTGTCTTCAGGAGTGGGGCCCGGAAGCCTGCATTGCTGACAAGCTCCTCCGTGATGCTTATGTGCCTTAAAGTTGAGGGCCACCTCCCAGAGCCCGGGGAGCAGAACTGCCTCACAAATGTTAAAGCTCTCATCATATTAAGCTGGGAGGTGGGTCCCCACTGCAGACCAAAGCCCTGGCCTCCATCAGCTCTTGATTCTTCCCTGTCCCTGCCACAGCTGCTTTCATCTGGACCACCCGACCTCCAGGCCCAGACCCCACACCCCACTAGCCAGCCACCCTGGGGGGCGGGGGCCACAGCCTCCTTATAGCCCTAAGTCAGAAGGCCTCTCCCTTCTCTTCCTGACCTGCCTTCTAAGCTGGTTGGCCTCTACTACATTTCTGGAGCCTCAGAGGACCCATCCACCATCCATTCATTTACCCATTCATTCATTCATTCACTCATCAGCATAAGGCTGGTGATCATTTCTCCTTCTGGGGCTCATCGTCCAAGGAGAAGATGAATTAAAAACCAATTAGGAAAACTAATTAAAAACTGTGATGAAGGCTGCGAAGACCGCAACCAAGGATTGAAAAGCGGGGCCGGTGGGTGGGAGGGAACCTGCTTCGTGCCTGCCTACCTTTAAATGCCCCTGGAGGCATGGAGATCACCCTCAACATCGCTCACTCACCTGTGCAGCTGGCATTTATTGGGCAGCATTGTCTATTCCATCAAGAGGACGTTTAGTTCTGTGGAGCATCCCAGGGCCCTGAGAGCCAATGAAGCAGTGACAGGAACCCAGTCTGCTGTGGTTCTCGGACTTGAGAGGGCGCGAGTGCCACTCGGGGGAATCTGCCTTGTCAGGGTCTAGGTGGGTGGGTGTTCCAGACACTTCCGGGACTATACTGAGAAATGCAGCTTTGGGGAGTCTGTCCTTAGGTGTAAAAGCACCACGAGGTGTGAGGTGTGCGGCAATGGCGCCTGACCCTGGGGCGTGCCCCATTGAATGAGCTCTTTGCGGGCCTCAGTCCTTTTCCTCTGGTGCTGAGCGTGCTTCTGGGGAGGCATGCCTGGGCCAGTGCGACCTGTTGGCCGCGTCTCGGCACTGGTGCTGCTTAAATGCTTCTGCACTTGACCTGCTGAGTGGCAGCGATCTGCCATCAGCCCAGTTCTGTGTTGAGTAGCTTTGGGGCCACCGTGGACTCCTTTTCAGTGCAGGATGGGGTTTTTCTGTCCATCTACTTGTTCATTCATTGTTCATTTTCCACCGAGTACTCCGTGCCTGCTATGTTCCAGGCAGGGTGTGAGGCTTTGAAAACACAGGGGCGAGCAAATCCAGGCATCCTCCCTGAAGCAGGACACCCGCCCCACAGAGAGGCCACCAGCACAGTGCAGGGTGACATCGGGCCAGGGACAGGACAGGGTGCCACCTCCTGGAAAACTCAGGCGTGGGGTGGGTCGGAGCAGCCACACGCTTGGGGTTTGGAGGATGCTACAGGAGCCTCTGGAGGAAGGTGGGTCTACAGTGCCCCAGCTTCCCAGCCAGGTGGCTTTTCTCTAGTTTCCTGGTGGCCACGTGGAAACAAACCAGCAGCCCTCAGAACCAGGAATCTGGTAAGCCTCATCCCCGGGCAATGCACGAATTTCCTTCTCCAAAACTTGAGGGGTGCGTGAGAATCTGAAATGACCCCATGGATTTTCCTGGCTGGTTGCCGCTACTGTACAGCACTTAGCATCCACATCCATCGTGATGCCAAGGTTTTGTGACTCATGAGAGCTGCCTGCCCTGCATTGCCGAGGTGGGAACGAGGTGATGGCGTCAGGGAGAAAATACCCACATTTCTTACCTGTAGGCAGAGTCAGCCCTCACTCGGTGCTTATGAGCAGTTACTCAAGAACATCAACAACAAAGAAAACTAACTGAGACATCCAGGAAGCAAAAATTAGGACCAAATATATTACTGGTAACAACTGTATTTGAAGGAACTGTAGTTTGCGCATGTTAGGACATTTTTATACAGTACTGTAATTCTTTCATGGGGGGGAGGGGGCTATGGATGGAGACAGACTAACTCGTTTTGTTATTCGCATTAAAATTACTTTGGGTCTCTGTCAAGTGAGTTTGGAAAATTGATGTGTAGCTCTGAGTGAATGTATATATTTATACCCGAACGCGGGAGAATTGGAGACCTCCCCCCAGTCCTCCATCCTCTGCGGCAGGTTGGTGGCCTGTGTGCATCCCTAATTGACAGGCTGAGGTCCTGGGATGCTCTGTATTAACTGATGCCGAGGACACCTGGACCCCCAAGCCTGTATGTAAACATACTAAACATAGTAGCTTAGATAGAAGCTGTAGCATCATTTAAAACCTGCCTGGATGGGGAATGACTAAACTTGCTAATCGTTGAAAGGCTACTTACAATACAGCGCATTGGGCAGTTTTGTATATTGGGGGCGTGGTGGTGATGAGAAAATGCAGGGAAAGGCCTAGAGGTTAAGTCTGAACCTTGGTTTGTGGACAAATGTGATTTTAGGGTATTAGATACTTTCTCCTTAATGTGCCTTTAAAATAGTACATTTTCTATGTTTTGTATAATCTGAAACTGTACATGAAAAATAAAGTTTAAAACCAAATCGCCCAGAGCCACAGCCTCGAATGTGCCCACGCGTGCCAGCATCTAGGTTAGAATGCTGCCATGTCGAGTGGCAGGCGGTCATTTGATTTCTCATCAAGATGTAAGTGTGGTTTTTACAGCCAGCAGTTGGTGCCTGACAATTCGTCATAGGACAGACTCCCACCACCTTTGCCTGGATGAACCAACCGCAACTGCTCAGGACCTGGGCTTCCAGAAGGCTCCATGCTGGGTTAACGATCTGCTAATACCATCTTAAACTTCGTAATGATATTTCAGCAAACAGCCCCACATTCTCATTTTGCAATGGTTTCCACAAAATATGTAGACAGTCCTTTCTCTTCCTTTTTCTTTTTTTCAGTATGGCTTACATTCAGTATTATTTTGCACTAGTTTTGTTACTGGGCGGGGTCTGGGCCCAGAGGGGGTCTGTCTAGGCCTGACCAGTAGTGTGTGGGTTCTTGACTTTGTGCAGGAAGGATTGTGCAACACAAGTCCAGGTGATTTTTAAAATATATATTTTATTGATTTTTTACAGAGAGGAAGGAAGAGTGATAAAGAGTTGATGGGAGAGAAACATCAATCAGCTGCCTCCTGCACACTCCCTACTGGGGATGTGCCCGCAACCAAGGTACATGTCCTTGACTGGAATCGAACCTGGGACTCTTCAGTCCGCAGGCCGACGCTCTATCCACTGAGCCAAACTGGTTAGGGCAAGTCCAGGTGATTTTGAGAGCACGTTTATTCAAGCTGGGGACAGTGTGAACAAAGGAGGGGCTTAGGGTAGAAGGAGCAAGGAGAGAGCTGAGGCAGGGCTGCTTTGGCTCACTGAGAAATAGGTCACAGTAAATGAAGTGAGCTCACTGGGAAAGTCAGAGAAAATGGGGGCCTTGGAGACAGGTTCAGGGAGTAAGCCTGGGATGAGCTGCCGCTGCCCGCTGCTCCCTTGGTGGCAAGTGTCATGAGGACCCATAGAGTTTAGGAAAAAGAAAGCAGAGTTACAAGGTGTGGGGGTGCTCTAGCAAGAGCATGCCATGGATCCTTTGTCTTGAGGCTTTATATCTTTCTCTGGCCAGTGGGAATCCTAGGGAAGGTTTCAGAGGAGGTCTTCGCAGAATTTTCATTAGCTCTTCAGGTGTGACCTTCAATATGTTGACTCATCCAAAGGTGCGTAGATAGGTATCAGGAGTTATTTCCTGGTTAGTTTTATTTTCAAAGAACATCATTGAAGAGGGATGGGACAGAGGCTGTTCTGCCCCCCAGACGGTCTGGAATGTGGAAACCATTTGTTCCTAAGTGTCCTTGGTTAGGGAAGAGAAAACATTGTCATTCATTAGCTGGCTGTAAACTGCTCAAATTGTTTGGCCTTGTTTGATTATTCTGCCACCGTTTCCCTTATAATACTTGTCAAGGAATTTCCCTAGCTTTTTACTATCCTGCCACAGTTTCAGGTGTAGGATATAGTGGTTAGACAATGATATACTATGCAAAATGCTCCCCCTGATATTTCTAGCCAGCCTGTTCTTTAGTTTGTATTTAATGAAGACTTCTGCTTTAAAGGTTTGGGTGATGATGAAAATCAGACTATCTGTATTACACACCCCACTGAAAAAAAAAAGCAGCCAGAAAAAGAGAGAATGGAGAGATCTTTAATTTTTATCTAAGGAATGCCAAAAGCAGTTAAAGCTACCTATCTAAGGAACC